CATCTATGACTACATTCTTCTTTTTGGTTAAAAGTATCGTCATACCCTAGATATTTTTCTGCAACCTGCTTTTCTCATGGAACTGTGTCTCCACTACATCTCTTCCAGCAGCGTATCCAGCTCTTTCTCATGTCACAGATTTATTGGTCATTTCTCCATTTCTTTTTTTTTAATGCCTATTTATTTATTTTGAGACAGAGAGTGAGAGAGAAAGAGTGTGTGTGTGGGGGGTTGGGTGTGGGTGTGGGTGGAGGAGGAGGAGAGAGAGGGGGAGACAGAGAATCCCAAGCAGGATCCTTGCCATCAGAGCAAAGCCTGACATGGAGCTTAATCCCATGCAACGTGAGATCATGACCTGAGCTGAAATAAAGAGTTGGTGGCTCAACAAACTGAGCCATCCAGGCGCCCGGTCATTTCTACATTTCTGTTAATTTCCTGTTAATATCCTTTGTCCATTGTTCCCATTAGTCATTTGTTTCTCCCTTTTATATATATGTGGGAGCTCTGCCCATGTTAAGAATGTAAGCCATTAGCTGAGATATGTTCCTCAGTCTTGCCTTAAAAGGACTCAGTGGCACAGGGATTGGAACAAGATGAAGAAGGGGGGATTGTCCCTGGCCTGCGAGGTGGGTCTTGTATGCCTCTAAGCCCCCAGTGTCTTATCCTTTTTGGGGGGCCAGGAGAGGGCCTCTGGCTCTGACAGAATTGGGAAAAGCGTGGAGGTAGGAAGGGAAAGTGGACTGAGCTAGGGGGAGAGTCCTGTGTAAACAAAATTAGAGGAACAGACACCAGGAGGTGGAGCAGAAGGGGGAATTGCTGAGACTTGTCCAGAGCTTCTTTCTTCCCAGTCTGACCATTACTTCCTCCTGGACACACAGGGAAGGTCTTGCGGGAGGGCCCTAGGAGAGGGATGGGGGCAGAGGGTGGTGCCCCCCCACCCGTCCCCAAAGGGAAGTCTTCTTCCCAGGAAAGGACGTAGCGGTGGCCCCTCCCTCCCTTTTCCCCTCGCCAAGCTCTGATGTTCCGCCTCATCGTGCCCATCACACCACCTACTAGCCCAAGGGACTTGTCAGCAGCTGGAGTTCCTGCCCCTTCTTACCACCCCACCGGAAGCTCCTCCCCTGCCCCATGCTGTGGGGTCTGACCAGCCTTATCACCCCCGCATCTCTCACCCCCACTCTGCGGCCACAGAGGCCTTCTCTCCCCTTCCCCTCCACCAAGTGATGGGTAGCTCCCCCTGAACTCTACTCTGCCTATTACTGACTCATCTTCCAGTCTTACTTCCTCAGGGAAGCCCACCATGATCGCCAGACTAACCCTGATGTCCCTGAAAGCCTCATCCACTCTCTCCATGCTTCCTTGGGTCCTTTAACAAGGTTTTCCATTGTATGTGTACTTGTGTGATGATTTGGTCACTGTCCCTAACTAGGCTGGAAACTCAGGTCTTGCCCAGCCATTCGCTTTATTTATCAACTCAACGACTATTTGCCTCATGAGTCTTGTGTCTGGCACAGTTTACAGCACTGGATGTGTCATTGTGACCCAGGACAGCGGGGGAGAGAGACAGCCGTTCACGCAAGGTCTCAGATAGGAGAGGCCTGCCTCTGTGAGTCCCTGACCTGGGGTGCAGCAGCCGCCACCCTGGAGGAAGGAGCTTGCGCCTGGAACTCTCCTACCCAGCCCTGCAAACTCTGCCCCTTGGTATTTGCTCCTTCTGCGATCGGCACTCAGTGGCAGTCGATGGCTATTTGTGTAAAGAAAGGGGGTTGGGAGAACCAAGTCTGAGGGGAGCAGAAGGGCTATTGGGTGGGAATTCTCGAGAACATGTGAGGAAGGACCCCCTTGTGTGCACATCTCTTTCCGCCCTGGGCTAGGAGAGGCCTTTCTTTCCACGACTAACCGCCCATTGTTTCACTGGTTCCGCCCAAGTTAATACACGTCCGGGGAGTGCCAAGCCTAGATCAGGGTAGGTGGCACAAACTGACTGCTCCCTTCTGATCCTCAGGAGAGCACAGCCTGGGGATAGGGGCGCTCGGGGACCCTGAAGGGTGTCACTGGGCTCACGTGTTGGAAGAACGGGCATCGAGCCACCTCAGCAAACCGACCCCCACTAGCTGGGGTCTAGGATACCACTGCCATGGCCGTGAAGAGGCGGATGGGAGGAAGACACCCGAACCCTCTACAAAGCCTGGAGCAAAGCCCCCACCGCGCCAGGCTGGCGCTGGCCGCTCGCTGGCGCCCCCTGCCGTCCGGCCGAGTCGGCCCCGCGCCAGCCAATGAGCGCAGCCCGGGCAGGCGCGCCCCGCGCGCCCGGGACATAAAGGCTCCGCGCCCTCGCGGCCCCGCACCTTCTGGTCCCGACACAGACTCAGAGAGAACCAACCATGGTGCTGTCTGCCGCCGACAAGAGCAACGTCAAGGCCTGCTGGGGTAAGATTGGGTCCCATGCTGGCGAATATGGCGCAGAGGCCCTGGAGAGGTGAGCACCCAACTTGCCCCTGTGGGCACCCGGCACCCGGGGCTCCGGACCCCTCGCGGTCCTTGTCCTGCGCCGCCCCGCCTAACCGTGGCTCGCCCACCTCTTCCTCCCGGCAGGACCTTCTGCTCCTTCCCCACCACCAAGACCTACTTCCCCCACTTCGACCTGAGCCACGGCTCCGCCCAGGTCAAGGCCCACGGCCAGAAGGTGGCCGACGCGCTGACGCAGGCCGTGGCCCACATGGACGACCTGCCCAACGCCCTGTCGGCTCTGAGCGACCTGCACGCGTACAAGCTGCGTGTGGACCCCGTCAACTTCAAGGTGAGCACCGGGCTGGGGGACATCTGCGGTGGAGGGCTCGCCGGACCCTGCTGGCAGGAGGGCAGAGTCCCTTGGGCTCCAGAAGGTGGAGTGCGGAGTGCGGGCAGCCGCGTCCCCCGACGCCCCCTGACGTCTCCCCTCCCCGCAGTTCCTGAGCCACTGCCTGCTGGTGACCCTGGCCTGCCACCACCCCGCGGAATTCACCCCCGCCGTCCACGCCTCCCTGGACAAGTTCTTCAGCGCTGTGAGCACCGTGCTGACCTCCAAATACCGTTGAGTGAAGCCGGGGCGATCGTCCTGAGGGCCCGGGGCCTCTTGGGCTCCGGGCACCCGAACTTCCTGATCTTTGAATAAAGTCTGAGTGGGCTGCAGCCTCTGTCCGCCTCTGTCTTCTTTGTCGCTGGCCTTCGTGTGTCGTGTCGTGGAGGGGGGTGAGGTTGGGGGGGTGGGGGAGCGGTGATTCTCCTCCACTGGTACCAGCGACCTCTCTGACTCTGCGGGAGGTGACGGAAGGGGAGGGGAGTGGGGCCGGACCTGCTGCCAGTGCAGGATTTGCGGGCCACCCCCCATCCCTCTCTCTGGAATGAGTGCCATTTCCTGCGGTTCACTTCAGACCTTTCCATTGGAGCTCGTATTTGCTCAAATGATGAACTGATTTTCCATCTTTACGTTTTATGGCACACACTTGGGCTGAGAGCTGGTCGGCCTCCAGCCTGGACCTCTGAGCTCTCCGTGGCTCTTCCTGAAGTTGGGCGGTGGGGAAGACCAGAAGTTACGCTCCTCAGAGTCCCCCGCAGTGCCCCCACACCTGTCAAGCGCTTACAAAACACACATGCAATCCCGACGACATTGTGGCAGGCAAACAGTGCAATGGCAGTTGGCAGGCAATTTCCTGGAGGCATCTCTTTCACTGGTGTCACTTCCAGGACATTCACTCTGCAGGTGATGACGGCCTGGGGCACCATGGATCCAGAGGCCTGGTTTTGGGCCCAGCTCAGCATTTACTTCAATGTCCAGAGGCTGGCACTCCTGAGGCCCACCGACTCCCCCTGGCAGGGCAGCAAAGAGAAAAGCCAGGGCCTGGGAGCCTGCACTCCCACACTCTTCCCCCCCTCACGGCAAGCCGCTAGTGCTTAGGGGTCTGGTCCTGGCAGCCATCCAGGCCTGAGCCCCCAACTAACAGCAGTGTCCTTTCTTCCCTGTCTAAGAGTCATCCTTGGAAAATGATATGGCAGGTCTCTGCCTCAGTTTGTGCTACTTTTAACAGAGCTGGTGGCACAGTGTGAGCTCCCAGTAAGAGGCAGTCTCCTTCTTTTATTATTAGGGAAAAACGAGGGCCTGGGCTAAAGGTGGAAACAAACCAAATGTCCATAAGGGGATGAATGGAGGAATCAAGTGTAGTCTATCCATACAGTGGAATATTATTCAGCCATTAAGAGCTATGGAGCACTGACACAGGCTACAACATGAGCGAAAACATGCTAAATGAAAGAAGCCAGACACAAAAGAATATATAGTGTGTGATTCCACATAGAGGAAGTATCCAGAATAGGCAAATCCATAGAGACAGAGAGCAGACTGGTGGTTGCCAGGCACTGAGGGGAAGGGTTGTGGAGCGACTGCTAATGGGCACAAAGTTTCCATTTCGGATGATGAAGTTCAAGAACTAGATAGTTGTGGTTGCACAACATTGTGTGAATGTGGTTAAAGACACTGAATTGTACACTTTAAAATGGCTACTACGGTAAATTTTATATGAATTTTCCAAAAAAAAATTTTTTTAATGTGTAGAGTGGCGCCTGGCAGGTATCATGACTGAGATACAGTGGAGGAACTTAATAAATGTTTACTGCCCGGAAAGGAACATATGCCATGAGCTTGACAGTTGTTATCTGCTTAATTCTCACAGCAACCTTGGGAAGAGGACATTTTTATGTTCCTTTTTTACAATCAGTGCGAAAATAGACTCAAGAGAGATGTCATAATAGTCTGGGGAGGAAGGGAGGGAGAATGAAATTCAGTGTCCCCTGATGATAATAATAACAAATTATTAGTTTCCATATAATAAACAGTACAAAAATGGGGCCGCGGGGTTCATGGCAATAGAGCAGGTCCCAGACTCTGGGACCCCTCAGCACCGGGGCCGGGACCCCTCAGGACTCTTCTACGAGCAGAAGCGGGGCGCGGCCGCGGCGTGGCGCCCCCTGGAGGCCGCGGGGACGCACCAATCGCGTCCGTGCTGCCATCCGGCGCGGAGCGCTCGCCGCTCAACGCCGGATCCGCGATGGTGCTGTCCGCCGCGGAGAGGGCGGCAGTGCGCGCGCTGTGGACGAAGCTGGGGACCAACGTTGGGGTCTACGCGACCGAGGCCCTGGAGAGGTGCGGGCGAACAGGTCCCGGCGCCCCTCCGGCTCCCCGCCTTGGCGCCTGCCCCGCGGATGCCGTCCCCCGCCGCTCCTGGTGCCCTTCCTCCCCAAGCCTCCCCCCCACCCTCTCCCTCGGATCGCACCTCACTAGCCATTCCTCCCGCAGGACCTTCCTGGCCTTCCCGACCACCAAGACCTACTTTCCCCACTTGGACCTGACCCCCGGCTCCGCCCAGGTCAAGGCCCACGGCCAGAAGGTGGCCGACGCGCTGACGCGGGCCGTGGCCCACCTGGACGACCTGCCTACCGCCCTGTGGGCTCTGAGCGACCTGCACGTGCGCCAGCTGCGTGTGGACCCCGTCAACTTCAAGGTGAGCACCGGGCCAGCGCTGGGTCAGCGGTCGCCGAGAAAGGGGGTGGAGAAGGACGGCCCCGGGCGGGACGACTGCCTCTCTCCGCAGCTCCTGGGCCACTGCCTGCTGGTGACCCTCGCCCGGCACTACCCTGGAGACTTCAGCCCGGCCATGCACGCCTCGCTGGAAAAGTTTCTGAGCCACGTGATCTCGGCGCTGGCCACCAGCTACGGCTAAACTCGGAGAAGGGCGCCCGCCGCCCAGCCGCCCCTCCCGCGAGTTCCAGAGTTTGAGTAAAGTCCCCGCAAGAAAGCCTCAGCCTGCATGCGCGTGTTCTCTCTGGGGGCGTGCGCGGGTCTGCGGAGTGGCGGGTATCGGAGACGCCGGAGTCGTACCCCACCGTCGTTAGACCCGGGCGCGCCCCCGGCTGCCCGCTGGGCGCCCTGGGCGATCGAGGGAAGGTTTAGGTCGCCCCCACCCTCAGCGGGCAAGGCCCGGACTCCCTCCAGGTGCAGGCGAGCCGGCCCGGACCCGCCGCGTGGCCCCTGACCCAACCGGAACCGCGGCCCGTCGCGGCCTCCGGGAACGTGAGGGAGCGGCGCCCCCTGCCGGCAGAACCTGCGCAGATCCCGACCAGCGTGCCGCTGGAGGGGCCTGGGGGTCTGGCAGTCCCGGGGGCCTCGGGTGCCCCGGCAGGAAAGCCCCTCTTCCAGACTCTGGACCTGGTGGGAGGAGGCGGGTCCTGCCCCAGCACCGGTGAACTGCCCATTTGTGTCCGTCCCTATTTTCCTGCTGTGGTATCTGTCATCAGATTAGCCCACAGAAGCCTTCCTCTGGAGATCTGTAGACGACTTTTAGTTCATCTTATGCACTGAAATTACTTGCCCATTTTTTCCGTCTTTATCTGGGGGGGTGGAGGGGAGAGCGGGATACTTCTTCCAGACACACTCAGCTCCTCCTTCAGGGCTGTGGGCCTTGACCGTGCTCCAACACGGACTGCTCTGAGCAGGCATTTCCAACCTGGGAACAGAGGCCACAGTTTCGCTTCAGCTAACTACAAATACTGGACAAATGGTTTCAGTGGGTTTTTTGTTTTTGTTTTAAAGCTCTATACCCAGGGGCGCCTGGGTGTCTCAGTTGGTTGAGCCACCGACTTCGGCTCAGGTCATGATCTCACAGTTCGTGAGTTCCAGCCCCACGTCGGGCTCTGTGCTGATAGCTCGGAGCCTGGAGCCTGCTTCAGATTGTCTCCCCCTCTCTCTGCCCCTCCCATGCTCATGCTCTGCCTCTGTCTCTCAATAACAAATAAACATTAAAAAAATAAAAAATAATAAAAAATAAAGCTCTATATCCAATGTGGGGTTTCAACTTACAACCCTGAGATCAAGTGTCATATGCTCTATTGACTGAACCAGTCAGACATCCAGATTAAATAGTCCTAAAAGCATCAAAGAGCAAAGAAGAGGGTAAGGAACCTTCTGGCCAGAAACCAAGTAAAGGCGAGGACTCAGAGAGGGAGAGGTTATCACAGCACCTAAACTACTTGGGTCCTGAGGTATTTGCCAAAACTGGCAACATCGGGCTAGAATTTTCTTCTTCATAGGTAAAAAAAAAAGGGGGCAGTATAAGGTGATGTGCTCCATAGGTGACTCTTCCCCATAAAGCTCGGGCCCCAAAAGGCTACACCTACTGGAGAATTCTCTCCTTTCCCCAAAAAGGGGGCCTAAAAAAAAATACCTTGGTGGTAAGCAGAAAAGGGAACATCTTTTCCAGATAAATCGAAATCTGATGTTGACACTCATGGCTCTGCAGCCCAAGTTTGTATCACCTGAATGGTCCCCCAAAATCTCAGGCTATGGATCTCATTTAAAACGATCCTGGACTCCCTCATAGGCACCTGGCAGTAGGAAGTAAGTCCTTCCTAGATAAAGGCACTTTACTATAGGCCACAAAGGGCAGGGCACCTGGGTGGCTCGGTTGGTTAAGCATCTAACTCGGGCTCTGGTCATGTTCTCACGGTTCGTGGGTTCAAGCCCCGGATTGGGCTCTGTGCTAATAGCTCGGAGCCTGGAGACTACTTCAGATTTCTGTGTCTCCCTCTATCCCAGCCCCTCCTTGGCTCACACTCTCTCTCTCTCAAAAGTAAACATTAAAAAACATTTAAAAAACCTCAAAATCCCGGGGTGCCTGGGTGGCTCAGTTGGTTGAGAGTCTGACTCTTGATTTTGGCTCAGGTCATGATCCCACGGTTGTGGAATGGAGCCCTGCATCAGCCTCCATGCTGAGTGTGGAGCCTGCTTGGGATTCTCTCTCTCCCCTCCCCCCACCCCCCCCCCCGGTCCATGTTCTCTCTCTCTAAAATAAAATTTTATTATTTTGAAAAGTTTATTTTTGAGAGAGAGAGAGAGAGAGTGCATGAGGGGGGGGGGAGGGGCAGAGAGATTGGGAGACAGAGGACCTGAATGGGGCTCTACTCTTACAGTAGAGAGCCCGATGTGGGGGGCTCAAACTCATGAACCACAAGATCATGACATAGTCCAAAGTTGTCCACTTAGCCAACTGAGCCACCCAGGAGCCCCTAAAATAAATTTTTTTTAATGTAAACATTAAATAAATAAGTATTCAGTGGCTAAGTGTAACAGATAAAACATAGTCACAGAGAGAAATAGTGAACTTAAAAATAGATCTGAATTAAATTCTCCGGATCCTGCCTCACCCTATCCTGACTCTACTAAAGGATGCACTACAGGCAGAAGGACAGTGAGCCTGGGGAGAAGCCTGAGATGTAAGAAGGAGTGAATAACAAACAACGTGCTAACACAAACACTGATTGTATACAAAATCACATATGAGATTAGAAAGGAGAAAAAAAAAAAACCCTACAGACATAAAACACCAGATATTAATAACTAAGTCAGAATTAAGTCATGACTCAATGGCAGTTAAGTGCTCTTAAGTCCTTACGTCATCTGGGAAGGAAACATGTTTTTATTAACTTTAGGTTTTGCTAGTTGTATTACTTTCCTATTGCTGGCTAACAAACTTAGTGACTTAAAACAACACAAATTTGGGGCGCCTGGGTCACTCAGTCGGTTAAGTGTCCAACTTTTTTTTTTTTTAAGTCTTTTTATTTATTTTGAGATACAGAGAGAGTGCATACGGGGAAGGGGCAGAGAGAGGAGAGAGGATCCCAAGCAGGCTCCGCACTGACAGTGCAGAGCCCGATGTGGGGCTCAAACCCACAAACCATGAGATAATGACCTGAGCCAAAGTTGGACGCTTAACCGACTGAGCCAACCAGGTACCCCAAGTGTCCAACTCTTGATTTCAGCTCAGGCCCTGACGTCACAGTTCCTGAGTTCGAGCTCTCACCCAGCTCCATGCTGACAGGAGCAGCCTGCTTGGGATTCTGCCTCTGCCCCTTTCTCCTCCTCCCCTGCCTGTGCTCTCTTCCTCTCAAAAATAAACATTAAAACAACACCACAAATCCATTCTCGTATTACAGTTTGGGAGGGCAGAAGTCCAAACTCAGTCTCACTATGCTGAAATCAGTATGTCAGATGGATTGTGCTCCTCCTTCAGGAAGCTCTGGGGGGAAATCCATTTCCTTGCTTTTCCAGCTCCTAGAATTGCATTCCTTGGTTCTGGGCCTCTTCCTCCATCCGTAAAGCTAGTAGTATCTTGCTTTCTTCTGTAGTCACATATCCCCTTGCCTGCCTCTAATAAGGACCCATGTGATCACAGTAGGCCTATCTGGATAATCCAAAATAATTTCTCCATCTCAAAAATTAAAAAAAAATTTTTTTTCATGTTTACTTCTGAGAGAGAAAGAGAGAGAAAATGAGATGGGGCAGGGGCAGAGAGAGAGGGAGACACAGAATCCAAAGCAGGCTCCAGGCTCCCAGTTGTCAGAAGAGCCCAACATACGGCTCGAACCCATGAACCGTGAGATCATGACCTGAGCCAAAGTCAGACGTTTAGCCGATTGAGCCACCCAGGTGCCCCTCCCCATCTCAAAATTCTTAATCACACCTTCCAAAGCCTTTTGCCATATAAAGCCACATTCACAGGTTCCAGGGATTAGGACCTGGATATCTTTGGTGGCTATTATTCAGCTAGCATACCACAATACATGAAGCATGTACGTTGTCAATTCTGGAGCAACCATGAAATAGAAATGGAATGTCTTCCAAAGTAACGGAGAGAAAAAAGTAGGAAGTTAAAATACTCTAAAACAGGGGCACCTGGATGGCTCAGTTAAGGTCCAATTCTTGGTTTCAGCTCAGGTCACGATCTCAGTTTATGGAATCAAGTCCCATGTTGGGCTTTTTGCTGACGGCACAGAGCCTGCTTGGGATTTTCTCTCTCCCTCTCTCTCTGCCCCTCTCTCGCTCACACACACACACACACACACACACACACACACTCTAAAAATAAATTTAAAAAGTAAAAAAATAAAACACTGAAGCACATGGGTGACTCAATTGGTTAAGCGTCTGACTTCAGCTCAGGTCACAATCTCACAGTCCTTGAGTTCTAACCCCGTGTCGGGGTCTGCGCTGGGGCCTGCTTCGGATTCTGTGTCTCTGCCCCTCCCCTGCTTTTGTTCTCTCTTTCAAAAATACGTAAGTAAACATTTGTTTAAAAATTAATAAAATAATTAAAAACTATTCTAAAACAATCCCCTCAAAAAGGGGCAAAAATGGAAATAGAACGGGCATGGCAAGGGGAAAGCTCAAAATAAGATGGCGTCAACAAGACCAAATACGTTAACTATATTGACCATAAGTGACTTCATTATCCCGGCAAAGGATAAAGACTGGACACATGGACAAAGACAAAAAGCACAGACTCAAAAAGTGTCAGTGAGAAAAGTACCTCAGGATCCCCACCTCCTGGTGTTCACACCCTTCTGTAGTCTCTCCACCTCCTTCTGAATGTGGGTTTTGCTGTTTTTAATACAAACAATAAATAAAACAAAGTTAACCTTTAAACCACTTTAGGGCATACAATTCGGTGGCATTTAGCACATTCATACTATGCAACCAACACCACTATCTAGTTACAAACCTTTTCATCGCCCCAGAAGCCCTGTGCCCCAGGTCACTCCCATTCCTCCCCCAGAACCTCTGAAGATCATTTGTCTACTGTCTGTACGGAACTGATGCTAGATAGTTCATATATGTGATCTTTTGTCTCTGGCTTCGTTTTCACTTAACATAATGTTCTCAAGGTTCATCCATGCTATAGTATGCATCAGAATTTCAGTCATCTTTATGGCTGAATAATATTCCATTGCATGAAGAGACCACATTT